AAAACTAGTAGCAGCCGACATCAAGAGGGTCGGTAAAGTCTCAAACCTGTTGTCTACATCCATAAACAACCTTCTAACTTATGAAGTACCCTCCTGTGTTTATACCAACGCACAAGGTCTTTTAGGCAAACTAATGGAGTTTCGCCTGCGTCAGGCGTCGTTGTCTAGGGACCTCGTTATGATAACCGAGACCTGGTTGAATGAAGCGATCACTGATGCAGAAATCGCACTACCTTGGACGTCTATCCTACACAGCGATCGAATAAGTAGAAAAGGTGGAGTACTACTTTATTATCGCAGCGAACTACACATTGATCTCATCGATGACGCTGAGGCTCAGGTTGTCGATGCGCTTTGGTGTCTCCTTCATCTAAGCCGCGGGGACGCATGTTTGTTGAGTGTGGTGTATAGTCCTCCGTCGGCTACTTTGGAAATGGACAACCGCCTAGCCTCCACAATGAAGACCATTCTCTCGCACTCGTACAGCTACATTCTCCTGGTTGGTGACTTCAATATTCATACCATAGAAACCCCAGCCTGTATCAACGAACACTTCAAAATGGAAGTACAGGAGATAATTAGTGCACTACCAATCTACAATCATATCACATCACTCACAAGATTCAGGACGGGAAACAAACCAGGTGTCCTGGATCTAGTATTCACCAATGAAGAGTTTATGATCGAAACGGTATCGATGGAGTCTTTTAGGCCGTAGCGACCATGCAACCCTCATGTTCAAATACATCTGTTATGCAGAGTATTCCTCAGAAAACACCGAGGAGTGTCAGCTCATTACGGATTACGGCGCTCTAGTCAAACTTATACATGGTACAAACTGGGTATTTCCAGCAGAACGATCCCCCGATGACGCCTGGTCTGAATTTGCTTACCAGTTCAACACGTTAGTAACTAGTGCTTCTAGGAAAATACAGTAAAAGCATCCATACGTAGCATGACACGCAAGTGTATCGTTACGAGGAACTTACTCTAGCGAAGTTACAAGGAGTCATCGAATGCTGAAACATGGGAAACCTACAATATTCAAAGGAATCACTGCGTAAACCTAGTACACGAAGATAAAATACAGTACCAACAGAATCTAGCCGAGAAATTCCTTTCTAACCCCAAGCTCCTTTACAGACACGTTAACAAGCTCTGCAAAGTGCAGCGAGGAATTCCTGCCTTACACACGTTATGTGGACTCGCACCAACCGCAACCGAGCGGGCCAACGCCCTAGCTCAACGATTCGCTCGGAACGTCAAGAGCACGACATCGCCGCATACACTGTTCCCGATCGTTGTACCACCACTAGGACTTAGGCACGTTGTGCTTACGATTGCGGATGTTATGAAAAGGCTACTTGCCCCGCGTGAATATATCTGTCCCGGCGTTGATAATATTCGTCCAAAAGAGCTGAAATTGGCTGCAGTAAACCTCGCGGACCCACTCTACAAGTTCTTCCGACGATGCCTTGATGAGATGCGGGTGTCAACAATGTGGAAGCAGGGCATCGGCACTCCCATCCATAAGGGAGGAAGTCGTACAGATCCGGCCTACTATCGCCCGATAACATGCAATCCCAGTAGCTAAAGGCACGCAGAAGCTTCTAGCTAGGGAGAAGATGCAGTCGCCAGTAGAGACGCATCAAGCGCTCTTCGAAGCGGAAAGCCGGAAACGCGCGAAATACGATTCGTCTGGGTGACTCAAACACACGTACTCATCATTCGAACAGGCAACCTTCCTAAGTTTTCTAGGTTTAAAATGATACTATGATGTACTAATATTTTACACAGACAAACAGGCGAACCTGCTGGCCACGGAGGATGAAGTAGCTGAATATTATTGGGTTACTGGTGCTTGACGGAGTTGAAATTGCCACAAACAGTTGCAATATGCTGCCAATTAATACTAGTATTAGGGACAATAAGGCTGACTATCTGGCAGACAAACACCTCAAATTCTGCAAATAATGAATCATCATGAACCGAACAGCCTTATTGATCTTAACTGTGGTGCGATATCAACTAAAAGAAGTCTGTGTTGTTTGTGAACCGATTGGGTTTATGTTAGCCGCCAAAGCAAACCATTACGCCTCTAAGAAGCAGTTAACACCAGAAAGGTCAATCTTCTGATCTATTTCCAACTTTATTGGAAGCATTTTGGTAATCACTAGCTTTTTGTGCACAGAATTATATAATCGAGTAAGTTCTAATTCTACGCGGCCCTCTAACCTCAATCTGACAGTAATCGCTAGTGTCTGTACTCCACCGCATGACCACTGAGATACAACTACTTTCACTTTGTGAGTTTATCTCTATGTGTATAGTGATTATTTTCTTAGTGAACTTTTTGTCACCCAGTTCTCCCATTGGCTCATCTAACACATCTATCGTTTGGCCACCAGTTCAAATAGTAGGCGACATTAACTTGACATAATACTGGCTCCCCTATTTCATGAGTAGCGGTCACAGTGGGTGATTAGTATGGCAACAGTCTGCAAAATCAGTGTCTTGGACAGCCTGACATAAGTGTATACAAAAGACGGATTAGTTAAACGACATTCTTCAGGAAAGAGCACGATTAAGTTCAACTACTGGTTTCATGTAGCGGAGTAGGCAGCTGCAGCCAAACGTCTCTTCAGACTAATCGGGCGCCTTTCTGTGCAAAACAGCGGAGATACTCGAGGGCAACAGTTATCACTTATTTACAAACTGAAGCGGTATTTTTGCATTGTTAATGCTCAACGAACGCTATGGGCGGCAGTAGGCTTAAAGAGCAAGCGCTGCAAGTGCCCTGACGCATAATAAGGGACGAAGCTTACCCTTCGGTCAGAAGGCAACTATTTTTAACCACTTTAGGGTAACAAGCGTAGAGCACCAACACGAAACCCAGCTACTTAATTGTCAAAAGTTAATGTTTTACAGAATTCATCATAACTGCAGATTTTACCTTTAAACCGTCTGCGCATAGCCTGGTCTGTGTCTCTCCTCGTGTCAAGTTGTGTTTGCATTTGCTCATCCGCTTTCCCGTATAATATAAACTAGGTGTTATCTAATAGCAGTGGGTACCTGCTCGCTCGCTGAAGCCACTTGTTACCTTTGATACCACCGGCAACGACTCAAACAATGGAACAGTGGTGAATTACTGGTAAGAATGCAAGTGTTTATCCTCCCTTGGGATGGCCAGAATAAACAATACTAAACGAAAAAGAAAACGTTGTGATAATAGGAAATACGTTCCGATGAACACACTAGAGTGTCAACTATGAGACGTGAATGCAAGAGGTTACCGCGATTGTGAAGTGGAATGCTGGTTACTGCACAGATTGTCACGTTTTATCGTCTCCCTATTAATATGCCCCTTATTTCGTAAAGTAAATAAATTAGGGCAATGTCGAGACGTTTGTTAATGACAGACGATGTGGAAGCAGAAACAACGTATTTAGCGAGGTCGTCCCATGTCTTTCACACACGAAGAAACTAAAGGTTTGGGCGACTTTCCATCCTGTTGTTATGTGACCGAATTGAACAGGTAGGTTCTTGTGTTTGTGTTGCAACTGAGTTGCAGTAGGTGGCGTTAGACTTCGTAGAGATTTCTCAGGATATGGGAAATCATTATTAGGCCGCCCTGAGGTGTCGATACGGACCGGCATACAATCTTAGGGTTCTCGGCCTATCGATTTGAAGGGCGGAACAACGCTTTATTAAATATCTGGTTATCAGAACTGTCCGAGTTTATTAGCACTCTGATCCAACCAAGCTTCTAGATGCGTTTTATTTTTGCATGTATAAACATCGGCTGTCTGCTTTTGCTTTTGTCTATGCCTCCCTTTGTCCATGTCTCCCTTTACCATGAGGAAGCGAAGGGTCAAGAAAGTCCTCAGTCCTGGCGAAGGTTCCGTTAATTTTTGATCCCATGAGGTTAACTTCTTGCAAGATGTGCTTGCTGACGTTGATAATTTATTCTATGTAACAGTCATCTTGCGGCATGACTAACTAATACGTCACCATTTAGCTTAACTCCGTCAAATACGAGGATTGCTTCCCAGGGCGCGCTACAGCATTCTTAAAGGGGATATATGAGGTAGAAGAAAATAAACAGCGTCACGTATGCACCAGCTGCCGTTTGCTAAAATCATTTACCGAGTTCCTCTTATCAGCAACTGATGCATTTGTTCCTCTTGCTCAAACGCCACTTAGAGACCAGTTATGGTACTGTTTAGCCTTTGAGCAACTCTGCGCCGTACACATAATTTGGTTACTTAACCCATCGACAACTCAACCTATGCGTCCGTAGTAACCAGTCAGGATTGACTAGGTTCATCGTGTTCGGTACATGGCTGGACGCCACCTGATGCTGATGTTGATGCTTCTGTTCTTCTTGATGCGATTGCTCCGGATTATGTGAATAGAACACTCTCATAAGACACGGAAAGGGTAGCTTATTTCCATATTTGTATGGATAAGAAATACCAGTTAATCTTTCGCGAGACAACATGCTACATTGATGAGCGACTGAAAGATCTTATCCGTGTATCGACAAATCCGTTCATCTCGACACAATGTAACGGGTAGGTGTAGTCATGCAATTGCCAAATGATAACTGAACTTTTAATTTATTTGTACCGGGTTTCATTAATGACGGCGCAGTTCCTTTTTCGACCAAATCAATCAACGGAAGAGGTAAAATAATATGTAGGATATCTGTCTAATTTATATTCACTTTAAGTGAGTAGCAAGCTATGCAAATTACTAATGAGAGACACGAGTTAAATAGCCAACTGTGCCAGCAATAATTATTTCGCTAAACCTGGATCCACGTTGCACGTGTTTGAGCCTTGGATTGGTTCTTCTCTTCAGTTAAAAGGGGCAATTAGATATTCCATAAGACGTGCATATTTAAGCATGCCACCGGTTTTTAGACTATTGATGCTGTTTACTTTTTTAAGGTAAATGCAGAATTTGTGCTAACACTCTATCTATCCATTCCAATTCAGCTCAACAGCAACAAACAACGGCACTCAACAGCAGTGTATTCTTCGCCGCAGTGTCAATGCATTCATGCTGAGGCTTAATGAAGACAAGTCCGAGGCCCATGAGTATCAAAATTTGTGCTCCGAAAACCGTTTTCTCACTTCCATGAAGACTGTTAATGCCACATATTGTTCCCTACAAGATCATGATGCTACTCGATTGCTGAATGAGTATGAACGTAACACATACGACGAATCAGCTTCGCTAAATGGCAGACAGGAGGGTGGATTGGATTGTCATTATGCGACCACTACTTCTATTCCATCAAACCTTCTTGAGCCACATAATAGAAAGTCCCCTCTGTACACTGAGATTACTAGTAGGAAATTCACAGTCTCTCACAAAGAATCATTTGTGTCGCATACCGACTATCCCAGCGGCACTGTGTCACATTACGCGGGCTCCAACATCGACAGTAATGCAAACATTTCAGCCAGTGAAGATGGATATCCGTTTTGGACCTCCACACTTTCCCAGGTAGCAGCAGTTGCTGCTGCTGCAATGGTTTGCGCCACTACAGGCGAGGATCAATCAGCAGGCACGGATATGCCATCTATAGATGAAGGGGGTTTTATATCCAACGATAGGAACACTACTAACCTGAGCTGCATTGATATGAGTCGTCCCGTTCCAATGAGTTCTCCGCTTATCAGCCAAGGGGGAGCAGCCGTTGGGACAGTAGTTAATAGAGGCATGTTCATGTTCAGTAATAATGTATCAACAATCCCCAATAACAAAGACTACAGATTCAATATCGAAAGTGAAAACAGCGAAAGCCGCATTCTCAACCCACCCGTCAACTATGGTAAGCGATTGGGAGCGAATCCGACTGATCCATTAACCAGACCAGGGGAAATGTCAGAAGAAATCAGAAAAGAAAGTGAAGACCTTACAGCAGTCTATCCATTCAATGAAGTTTCTTTTCTATCGAATCTTCTGAAGCTAGATCCAAATGTTAGCAACGTTAATCCTCAGAGTTTTGCAATGGCAGAATACGGACAAGACTTATGGAGCCAGTTATCAGATCATGGTTCCATCGCTTCCGGAAGAATACTTCCACCAGCTCAGTGTCGTGCGTGGAAAAGATCAACGGACGATGTAGATTCCTTTGTTTGTCGATCCAAACCTGAACACGTAGGTTCGCAACGTCGTGAAGGAAGGGAAACTACACTGCTCCCAGCGGACAGTTTGACTATCACTTCGAGTTCCACTCCTACGGATCGAATGCTTACCAGCGAGAATCGATTCCCAGCTGTGTCTTCTGTTCATCTCGGTACGTTGTTACCTCATCCCCTTATGCAGCAGTTGAACTTTAAACGATGCTCTGACGAGATGAGGTCAAGCCCTAACGAAACTCAAAGTCAAATGCAGTTTTGTGTGTCCAACTATCCTGACCAAGACCACTACGCTTCGGTAACCTTTGCAGATGATTTGTCGCATACCACAAACAATAAGTTTGCCACCACCCGCAACCCCAGTATGCCAACAGAGACAGTTGGATTCAATACCAACTGCGGTCCTGATGTCCAGGAAGAAACACCCACACAGCTTGAGCACCTCGTTCGAATGGATGTAGGAAAAGAAAGAATGGCCTGTTCCGATGCACATCTGCCTGAGTCCTGTAAAACTTTTGAAGCAAACGATGTATATACCACTCTGTCGACATCCCCAGTGCATTGGGTAAGCTCTGCAGAAACCGATCACATAAGTACTGCTCCAGTGGGCTACTCGGAGAATACAAGACACAGTCCATTGAGTTATCTGGCCAACTCGGTGTTTCCAAGTCACCTTTACCCAGACGTAACAACTCGCTCGCATCGTATGGATGCATCCTATCTGGCCGCCCAGCAGGCATTTTTAGCCAGTTATCTGAACCGCGATCACCACTTTATGGACAAACAAATAATACAAAACTGGATGGGACAACAATTGGAAGCAAAATGCAATCAGCGTTTCGGGGGGTTTTCTGATTCTTCTGTCAGTGAGTCTGCAGTCACAGAACCTGTCCTTCGACGTACGCCAGTTGACCACTTGGCGGAACTAATACAATGCTCCGAAGGTCAAAGTACGGGATATTTCGATTCAGAATGCTTAAAATTCTCTTACGATGGACGCGACCCCTGTAGGAACCCACGTGAACATGTCTGCTTCGATCAGATTCAATCGCATCGCTATATTCACTCAGATAGCGAACACGGTTTTCACGTGGGACACTTTGAAAGCTATCGTTCACCTTCACCAAGTCCAATCGATGTCTTTGAACAGGCGCTGATCCCGACCGTATCACTCGGATCCCTAAACTTGCACGTGTCCCCCAACAGAACGGAAATACCGACACAGCAGAAAGCTTTAGCTGCTAAAATGGAGAATTCATGTGATATAAACTTTAGAAACTGCCTGCATGTTGGTTCGAGTCCCGTTGACCAACATCTTGTCCGCATAAGTGATAGTTCATCCGCTGTGTTATCCCCCCAGAACATCGGCTTTCCAGTGATGGATAAAACCGGAAAAGCAAATCCGTTCCCTGCAGTTAACTTGGGGGGAAACAAGCCTACCGAACTGGACTACAACCAGCAGTGCTTGGTGTGTGGTGACACAGCAGCATGTCAACATTACGGAGTAAGAACATGTGAAGGCTGTAAAGGCTTTTTTAAGGTGAGTTTGAGCGTACATCTGTGCGTCCTCCTCTTCTGTTGAGTATCATCTCATTGCGAAGCCGTAGCATCAAATAAGACATCAGAACAGAGCGGCAAATAAGCTGTGGTGCAGGGCATGCATCCATTATGAGGTCGGCTTAATATGTGTCTCTATTTGATCGGGTTAGACTTGGAATACTTGAATTGGGGCATCAGGCAGCCACTCTCGAATCGTAAACGGATTATCAAACGGACACCTCTTAGTGGACAGTATTAGGCAGGTAACTTGATGAAAGAAATGGTTGTCTAGCTATACATCTGAATCTTTATGGTCTGTACACCTGAAAAGTGAGTTACGTGAATACGAAACGTGACTTAGTAATATCTAGGTTGCCATAGAAATATTTCCCTAAGCACTTGCGCTTACTACGCATAGTGACTCATCACTGACTGACCCGTTTGTCAAGTCCTTCATATTTGTGATGTTGATGAACTAGGTATGACCACCGTTTAGATGTTGCCTTGTGGGGGCCAAGGTAAGCACCAGGAACAAGTTGACATTTCTGGTAACACGGTTTGGGCAAAAATGTTGGACTCTTTCATAACTCATAGTCAGGTTCCTTGTAAGAATGCTTAAAGTACAACAGAAAAAGGCATCGGTAAACTGGTTAGATTCTGGAATGCACCAATTACTTTAGCGCGCATGGACGAGTTATGGTAAGCTCTGCTTGGCTTAGTAAAGGTAAAGAAATTATCTTCCTAGGTTCCAAAATTATCCACCAGGCAAACGCACTTTATAAATAGATGTGGGAGAGAGCATGAATAAGATATCCGTAGCCGCCGACGAAAAACCACCATACTCGAATCTATGGTACCCCTACAACTATTACTAAACCGCAGACGGCAAACTTCTAGCGTGAATGGATGAGGTAAAAGTACACAAGAGGTAACCCGCTTCCTTCAGAAAACAGCTTTATTCACTCCTACTATGAGTTAAGACAAAATTGAGACAGTAGTTCAATCAAACCATTGATCAATAATTTAAGTAAGCAAAATAACTATATTTCTACCTATCTAGCTGTCTAGCTAGCTAGTAAGTGAGTCATTTTGTTCATCGAACTGCCTTGCCGCTTTGGTTTAGTTCACGGATTGCCATCTTATGCTTACGTTCTTCTGATATTAAATCTATCATTAATGTAACCATCTGTTCATTTGTATATCACTCCGTTGTGATGTCCAAGAACTACAGTCTGAAAGGAAGGGAAAACAATTGACACTACGAAGATCGACTGGAAGGCGCATTTTGAGAGGCATTAGGTGCATTAATATGCGGTATACCTGGATAGCGTATCACGATTTTACAGCACCAATACATTTGATTTTCTCTGAGCCATCTTGACGACGTTTAGAGCAGAAAATGATGACAAAGGTGGTCGAAAGTGAACAGCTTACCACCTGCCACTGGAAACGAACACAAACCTAAAACAGAAGTGTTTTACTTTGCACGCTTGAAGTTGAATGCAGGTGACGGTACTGTTTTGCAAGCAGCCCAATTTATTTTCGGCTGATAGTGAACAGGGTTGGTTTCGAGCTTATGAGAAACTGTCAATAGATGCCGAAGCTATGTTGGTATTCCGTAGTAAAAGCTGGAATACGTCGCCATTCTACCTGCATTTTTAAAGCGTTCATGTCGCCGGCAAACTGTCAAGTTTGATTTGACAGACGAACCGGGTAGCTGAAGGATGATATGATGTAGTTGGGACAGCATACTGCATCGATGTTGTTCACCGAGTACCATACGGACCTTGATTCATGCACGCGTGGAAGTTAGTACATGTTTAGGATCAGATTAGCCCGTCAATAGCACACCCTGCAAATGAAAATTCACTTTTTAGGTAATGCAGCGACTGTGTTGCACTCCCTGCATACATGCACATCCTGGCATTGAACAATTTAATTCAATGAAGAAATAACTGTTCTGGCTATTTTTCACAGCAGAAGTGCATACTGACTGAAAAGGTATGTCGATCTTCTGGACTGACTCAAACAAACGAAATCAACGCGCAGAACGGGTCGGATTACCATATTTAGAACGCTCCGTGAAAACCGGTTGTACACAGAGCAGAAGAAACTGGGTGCTGAGCATCGGGTTTGAATGGTTGTAATCACAGCGACCTTCTTCTGGGGGTTATTCTGCTGACTAGATATCAAGCCTCGTTAGTGTCGTTCTGGCGCAGTACTTGCTCGTCGTTATCTTGGTCGCATGCAATGTTTTGGATGAATATCGAAGTGAAGACCATCTGGAGTGTCTACTTCTGTACTGAAGTGTGTAGGAACACCGGAAACTCTCATAGCTTAATAATTCTACGCGTGACATATTGCACGATAGACTACTTGGCATGGCAGATGTTATGGTTGCGATTGATAGATAAATAAATAAATAGTTTATTCTCGGCAGCGCTAGGCGGGCCTGCAAAGGCATGATCATGGTAACACAAATATGTATGATCGGTAATTGCACAGAAGAATTACAGGTTAACTAGTAATGTGTGTATGTATTCATGTAGTTGTCTGTACAGTTAGTACAAGTAGTCAAGTTGAGTGAGTTTCTTAATGTAACTCTGAATTTGTGGTTTTATTCGCCGGATTCTTCATCGAAGAAAGACCAAAGAAAGACTTCGAAGTGGATGAGACTGAGACTGGGGCTGTATTTAAGAGCAAGTACAAGGGTTTCTGTACAACTCTGTCGAATTAGGAAAAATCAAAAAGATTTAGTTGTGAATCATCAGCAGTTGTTTCCGGTCCGTTAATCATTTACACTTGTTCGGTTCGCAATTTGTACTAGTGTCTATTTCCGGACATACAATGTCTTCTTTTGCATTGTATGCGCATCGTTTCACAAAAACACAGTTTTCCGAAATAATCGTCGATACGGGTTTTAAAACACTTTACAAAATCGGCCTCTATTAATCCTTCAGGTAGTGTATTCCATAAGTTTACGATTCTTCGTTCGATACAAAGCTTATGTGAAACTTTATTCATGTTGGCGACCCTGAGTTTGTAACGGTGTCCTCGGATGTTACAGGGTTCTCGCAGGTGAAATATTGGCCGCAGTATGGGGAAGTGATCTAAGTGTAGTACTCGATGGGTCGTAATAAGGTCAATTCTTACTCAGCGATAGGATAGTGTGTAGAGTCCGAGCCTTTCACATCGTTTTTCATACGGAAGCTTTTGTAGACTCGGTATCATTCTAGTTGCGATATGCTGTATTTTCTCCAGCTTTTCAGTTTCCCATTGGGTTATCGGATGGTAAGCTGGGGCACCGTATTCAAGGATTGGTCTAATGAGCGAGGTGAATAGAGGAGGGACGGTTTCTTTGGACCATGTGGAGAAACTGCGTCTTAATGCCCAGAGCGTACGAAGTCCCGCACGGTACAGTTTCTCCGTATTTTCTAGTGATCTCATATCATGTCTTGGGAGAACTCCTAAGTTTCTGACAGATGTGTTGGGATGGAGCAACTAGCCGTCCAAGATGTATGCTCGAGGGGCTAGACGTCTGTTGATACTGATGAACTCCGACTTGCTTGCGTTAAGAGGGAGTTGCATTTCAGTGGACCACGTTGACAGTCGCTCTAAGTCATGCTGGAAGCGAGCGCAGTCGTCCTGGTTCTCAATGATCCACCAGATTTTCAAATCATCTACAAACAGGGCACATGGTGACTGGAGCTGCTGCGGAAGATCGTTGATATGAATAGGAAATAATACTGGCCCAAGTACAGTTCCTTGAGGCACGCCACTAGTCGATGGGAATCAGTCTGTCAGGTAGTCATTGTCCAGTACTCTAAACTTTCGTCCCACAATAAACTGGTGTAACCACTGAAGTAACGTGCCACCTATTCCGTATGTCCTCAGTTTACGAAGGAGTACCTCGTGGTTCACTCTGTCAAACGCCTTACTAAAGTCGATGTACACCACGTTAACAACCTTCCTTTCGTTGAGAGCTCGTACCCACTGGTGGTTTGCGTACATCAAGTTGGTGATGCAGGATCGCCCTTTCGTAAAGCCGTGTTGCGCTGGCGTCAATACGTCCATCGATTAGAAGAACAATAGCAGACACTATTTCACAACCTTCTCGAGCACTTTGGATAATACCGAAGTCAAACAGATCGGTCTATAGTTCTCTAGTTTACTCGGATCACCACCCTTGGGAAGTGGTCTCACTGTCCAGAATTTCTAGTCGTTCGGGACAGATCCTTCAGAGAGCGATTTACTAAAAATGTTTGTCACGGCTGGTGAGATGAAAATCGATAGGGACTTGAGTATTAGTGGGTGAAGTCCGTCTGGTGCGGAGGGCTTTAGACCATCGAGGTTGACGAGTAGCTGGTACACTTCGACTGCATCACATTGTAGGCTGTTGAGCAAGACTGGCGCAACCTGTGCCGGTACTGGAACCGCCGCCGGTTTACTGGAAAATACAGTGAGGAAGTGCGTAGCCAAAGCATCCGCGCGCTCCGCGCTTGAAATGAGCGTCTTTCCGTCTAAGCTGTCTAAGACCGGTTGGTCACCCCAGGTTTCAGTTGACGTTTCAAGTAGGCAAATATTCTTTTGGGTGCAGTTGTGGCCGAGGATGCTAGCTCCTCTTCGAACTGCCGGCGTTTTTTGATCTTTGAGGCGTTACACAAGTTACGCTGCTACTTGTACACCGTGTAATCTTCATCACAACCTGAGCTGATGTATCTATCCCAAAGTTTGCGACGCCGTCGCGCTAACTGTCTATATTCCGAATCAAACCAATGCGGTTTGACAGGTCCAATTTTTGAATACTTCAGGGGAACAAACCGAGTATAGAGCGAGTTAAGCTTCCCCTTCATTGATGACCGACAAGACTCAAGTGACGCATGCTGTGGTAGTGTCCAATCAGTCTGACTTGCAGCTTGAACGCACCCATTGAAGTCCGTCTTCCAATACTTGAATGTCGGCTTCCGTTGATTGTAATATGGTAACGACAGATCTAAGCTT